CCATTTTTTCCCTGTTAGGAGCGAACCAATTTGTATCATCTACGTATGCTGCAACTGCTAACTCACAGCTAATATTCGCTTGTGTTTTGTGATACAGATTGTTTATCCAGCTCTCTTTCATTGTATAACCTAATTTTGACTTTGCCACGTGGTTTATTAGTGGATCATAAAAAATTCTCCACATTAATGGTGAAATGATATTCCCCTGATCAATACCATCCTCCACTTTATATGACTCAGTATTTCCATGTGCCATTATCACTTTATTTTCCCTATTTTTTAGTAGTCTCGACATAAGATCTATAAATTTTTCAGGTATTTTGATACGACGTAATGCCAAAATTAAGCAGTCTGAATTTACTGAGTTGAATACCTTGCTCATGTCCTGAAACATAAGCCATAATTCTTTATTATTAGTGCGAGCATCTTCTATGATATTGTTTATAATGTGTATAGGCCCTTGTGTATCATTTCCCGATAAGCCAGCATAGTTATGTTCTAATAGAATTTCTCGTTTCTCAAAAATAGCTGATAATCTGTTATTTATGATTTTCATAAAGATTTTTCTGCCTGTCTCTAATAATGTAATTGATCTTGTGATATTTAAATTGTTACACCACTCAGCAGTTTTGGGTATTGGATAGATATATTTTTTCCACTCTTTAGGGATATCGTTTAATAGTAGTGTGTCATTTACTATCTTTTGAAAAATATCTAAACCTTTTTGTGGGAGGTTTTTAAACCATTCGTACTGAAGATTGGATTGCCCCAGCACTTTGTTATTTGGTAGAGATTGAATTACTACCTCTAATTCGTCTAATTTGACCTCATTATATAGGGTGTCATATTACGACATGTTGATTTCTTTAAGTGGTGTGTATTCAAACTCCCATTTTTTGAATAACCTAGCATCTGTAGTTCTTTTCCTCGTCCAATTGTGAAAATGTTCTTTTACCAGTTCTTTAATTTCACTACCTTCTGTGATTATAATTGTATTGTTATCTGATGTCTCTTTTACAATTCGATCCATTACTATTGATTTACGTGGTCTATCTAATATGCTACTTATCATACGCTTCGGATTATCTTTTAGATCTTCCCATCTTTTTTCAATTGCTTTTTGTATTTGTTTTATTGTTTCACTTTTTTCTTTTGCTTTGGCAATTTTTTGATGAACTAGACTTTCCGCTTTTAGCTCTTCTCGTATTTCAAAATTATTTGTATTGTTTCTGCTAAAGATTTTTTCCATGCTATAATTTAGCATGTTCAGTTTTCTTTCTTCTTTTTTAAAAGTTTCACTGTTTTTAATTGTTTTAATTGATTTTGCTCGTTCCATGTTAAATAGCTTATATACCTTATTTAGCGATTTTGTAATGCGAAATTCTTTGATTATATTTGGAGTCAGCAATCTCTTTTTTTTTTCCATTTATATTTTGGTATAATTTAATCTGCTACTTTTATCATTATATTTTTAAGTGTTAACAAACTTTTATTTAGTGAGTTATAATTCTTTTTCTGGTAATTGATGCCATTGAAGAATTTTGATGACTCAACCTCTACAGTTACCAACTTTGCAAATTTTAGCCATCGTTTCTCATCCATCAGCTTTATATTATATTTAGGTCCATTGGGATAAATTTCCTCATTTTTTTCTCTTATTTGCCACTTTTTCAACATTTTTACACCTAAAAGTTTATGGTCGCTACTTGTTATCAATTTGATGTCATCTAAAAAACAGGATATAATTTTATCATACCATCTGTGTGACATCCAAATTGTGTCAATTCTACTTTCCTCGTTTGAATTATCTCTTTTCCATGTATACCCTGTGTTTTCTGGAAACATTATTCTATAGC